ACTTGTGCGAACCAACCCCCGACGGAACACCTTTCTTGTGTGGACATTTTTTCTTGTTTGGACCTGTTGGGTGGTCCACACAAGGAAAATGATAGGATAGGCTCCTTTCATCCTAAAGAATTATCTGTCTAAGTTTCAGAAGATATCCATATACAGAGAGTAAAGTCAGAAAAATGTGTGCCAGCTTGTGCTCTAAAAATATCATGCTCTGATTAAATACTGCTTAAGGTGAATTCATGCAATACTGCCTGTGTCTTTAAAAGGGCACAGACAGGGCAGCTTAGAAATGGGTGAGAATCAAACAATATTTATAACACCTGGAGCTTGAGGCTCACCTTCAACTAATGTTGCATTAAATGCATGCCTCAACACTGCGGAGACTGCGGTATCACCACAATCAGTGTGCTGAGAGATACGACAAGGAGAGAACCGTGAAAGCTGAATTAGACGATGAAAAAAAAACTGCAAATTGTCCAGGTAAGATTTATGAAACTAGTTAGTTGTTTTGGTTTGAAACTAAATTCTGGTGACATCACCGGGAGCAACTGGGGGTTCAGTGTCTTGCTCAAAGACACCTCGACATGTTGACTGGACAAGCCAGGAATCGAACCGCTAATCCTCCAGTTAGGAAACGACCCGCCCTACCTCCTGTGCCACAGCTGCCCCTGCTCTATGGTGCAGAGCTGCATCCAAATCAGTGAGCCTCACCTCCAGTGCTGCTAGCATCTGACATTTACAGTATTACAAGTATTACTGCTAAAAGAGGCAGAGGAATAACTGAACATGCGACACTCTGGATAAGAGAAAGTCAGAGAGGAAGAGAGGGAAGCCGCTGCTCTCAACTAAGCCACTGGCTTAGCTAGCTTCTAAACTAGCTGACCTAAAGTAGCATGTTAAATTTGGTAATTAGCAAGAACGTCTGTGACACAGGTGCTTAAGTAGTGCAGGTATATGTTGTCAACTCAAAAAAATTCAGATAAACCTAGAAAATAGTGAGCTTAATCCGTAAACAATCTGGTAGCAAGCACAACATGGTACAGACACAGGAAACAGGAAGTGAGTATGATTAACACAGAAACAGGAAACAGCAGTCCACACAGGAGTAGGAGCATTTTAGCTGTTGCTCTTTAATTATTCTTCTCTCTTCTCCAATTCCTCTTGTTATTTTTCTCTTTCTCCTCGAAATCCAGTTCTTCCTTCCACTCATTCTTGACCTCCATTGGTCCAGGTGCAATGGGGAAATACAAGCTTACTATCAACTCCTCCATATATTCTTCCTGCACCAGGATAGTTTTTGTCACTGGTGTGCCTTCCTTTGGGTTGAGTAACACTTTTTCATCTTTTCCTGGCTTGTCTCTTTGGACTCTGACTCCTTAAACAGTGGGCATTCCAGTAATTCTTGCAAATACTCTTGTTGTTCCTGTGGGACTTCTAGTTGTAAAGAGACAATCTGTTTAATGGCCTCTTGCAGTTCCTCCTGTAAGGTCATTTCTGGTACCGGATAGTCAAAGGCCAGCACTTATTATTGACCTGTGCCCCCCTCATTACTTTTTTCCTGGGCCTTTTCCAAACTCTCTCCGGGACCCATTGTTACAGCTCCACTAACATTAATGAACAGAAAAGCTGCATTATTGGTAGTCTTACTAAGATCAAGGATTCACAGCGATGGAGGTTTTAGTTGAGCTGATTAAGTCCTGTGATCATAAGGAAACACCTCAATGTTCTGGGTGCACCTTGATCAGATATTTGTACTACAGTTTTGTGGCAGATCCATGTGTATTGCAGTAAGCTGCATTTCTGTTTCCCAATGAATTCATCACTCAGTTATTTTATAATGTATGTGGAGGCCACGGTCAGCTTCTCCATTGATCCCGCTCTTGTCAGACAGCCTTACTGTGACTGAATGGCTGCCAGAGGCTTTACACACTGCATTCCTTCTCTCACTCTGTTCCCATCCATTCTGCAGGAAATCAATATAGGACATTGGTAAACAGAGTTATGATCTAGTACATCCATGCTTACTGTTGGCTGTTTATTGTCAGTGTAAAAATGTATTATGCCACAGCTGAGAGGCCTGGCCTGTCAATAGTTACATAGTCCCTGTGGAAAAGATCTGTACAAAAGCTCTCATCTGAGCAAACTGAAACACACACACTAAAGGCAGTACATTTGAAGGTGTGATGGAGGCTCTTATCATTTACCAAATCTTTATACATTTATTTAACCATGTCAAACATCCATTTCTAGCTCTATGAGTATTTTTACTTGAAGGTGTGTAGCATCAGTTTGTACCTAAATTAAGATAAAATAACCTGTTACTGATCACAAAATAAATTACTGTACAGATAAATGTTTATAGAAGAGGAGTAAACTGTAATGTAAAATTCTTTTTTTAGCAGTGGTTTATTACTTCACTGAGCCAACTGCTCAGTGAAAATGTTAATTTTCACTTGTACTGTAAAAGAGTAGAGGGTTGTAGGTCACCCCACCCAGAGGTCTGTGGTTAAGGGACTTGGATCCTTTCTGCTGAGGAAAAGTTGCAGAATTTGAGGCTATTGTAGCTCTGACAACTCAAATTCACCTGACGCTGAACTGAAGTGAAGAAGTAAAACAACATTTTTTTTTCTACCTTTGTGGTCTGCTTTGCGGTTTTATATCCATCCTACTGTACACAGCTGTCCTCTGTCAGTACCCTGAACTCCCTCCCTCTCTCTCACTCTTCCTCCTCATTTCAGCTTGGTCCAGTTAAATGTCAGACATCATTAGTCCTATCTGTGAGACAGGAAGCATCAGCTTCATTACCAGTCATTAGTTCACCAACAGTAGGAAACATCACCACCACCGCACTGCCTCTCTCTCAATCATTCACACATACAGTGTGATGGAGTGTCTCAGGCGGGCCACTGTGCCTATCCCCCTAGTTGCCGTTTCTCATGTCTTTAACTCTGTGAATGTGTGTGTGTGTGTCACTTTGTGATCTGGACAAACACATTGCATTCATTCATGAGTCCTTTAATTTGATCTCTTCTAGCCTTGAAGAAACGTTTCCCTCCCACCTTGTGCTCAAAGATACAGTGAGGCTTAATACTATAAACAAATTGATAATTATCATGCCAATCTTTGCCTTGTTGGCTTCCAGCAGAGTTTATAATAAACTTTAAAATGCTACAGATTATTTTCAAAGCACTGGGGTTTAACAATTCCCCGCATGTTCAGAGAGAGGCATTAGCAATCAGAGGTCAAGGTTTCATATTACGATATACTCAACTTTTTCAATTATGGCTTTATTTGAAAGCCTCAGTTCTTTAGAACTGATTGCCTGAAGACAATATGCAGAACATTTATCATAACCTCTTTTAAATCAAACTGTGTATGCATTTGATATTTATTTCTGTCTACTTTTATTAGAGCCATTTATTATAAAGCATTTGTGTTCCTTTTGTAATTCATTTTTTATCAAGGAGACAAAAGTCTGCTGAAAAAAATGATGTGTGAGTGAAACAAGAAGAGGGAGGCAAAGTGAAAAACCATATGTGCACACTAGAGGTGTAAATGAATACCCATACTTTATATGACTTGTTACCGGTTTCACACAATATATCACAAACAATCTAAACACACAGATGTCATACACACCCTGCTTTAATCAGTGGAATTCACTTTTAGAAATCAGATAACAAATGTGCTCCTTATACTTGCCTCAGAATCATCAGATGTTTTCCTCTGTGTTTGCCCAGTGCAAACAGTAGATGTGACAAATGTAAACAAACAGACTTTAAGCTAAAAGCATGAAGGTGTAGGTAGATTTAATACCCATTCATTCATATTACAGATTTATTATTCATCCTTCATAACTTTTCATCCATTTTTACCACTGCACTAGCCTGACTGATGTTTCAGAGCTGCTAGTTTTACTACAGGATTCCAGACTAGACAGACAAGTGCTTGCAAATGAACCAGATTTTTGAAAACTTAATTTCATCTGCCCAGGTGATGTAATGTGGCACAATGCAATCCTTACTATTTCCACTAACCTCTTGTTGACTCATGTTTAGACTTACTATTATTTTCTTTTTTAAGGTGAAGTTCAAATAGACACATTTAATATTTGATTAATTCATTATCTCTATCTTTTGATAAATTCAAAAACATGGTTATGTTCCTGGCAGCTTTACTATAATTCTTTAGATTCTTGAATACTATTTGAGTGTTTCCATTCTGTGCTACAGATATGACTGCTCTGTCCCCCAGAGGGAAATTCACATGCTACCCACTATGGTTATTAAAACCAGTCCCACCAGCTGCAACAGTGATAAGTCCAGTAACATACAAAATGCCAAAATGGGCCATTCTGCATAATAACATTTGATATCTTAAGTATAATTTAATGCTTATACTTTTTATAGTGTAAGTAAAATAGTGAATATAGGGCTTTTATGCGTAACACTGTATTTTTAATGTACTTTTTACCAGTGCAGAATACTGATATTTTTCTGACACACTGTAAACAACTATTAAAACAGACAGGTTTATTGACTCACCAGAAGACAAAGGATTATGTTTGTTACAATATGTGAACTGGGTAAGATTGAAGACAAAATCCATGTTATATTTTATTGTTCATGTTTGATGACTTGAGGGATACTCTTTTATTGTAAAAGGTCTTCAATATGTGATACATTTTTCCAGTGGATAATTTTAAGAAACTTGAAGTGTGTTTTGTAAAAGGAACTTTTTATGTGGCAGAGTTTTTCTGTAGCGCATAGGACAGAAAACAATGTTTCTTGTATGTTTTGCTATGTACAGCAAGGAGGATATTATGGTAAAGTTTGAAAATTGTACTTTTTCTTAGAAGCAACAGCATTTGTAAGTCCATGTGGGCTGGGCACTTTGGTGCATGACACAAATAAAAAAAATAATACATCTGTAATCTGTATAGATAGCAGCTTCACCTCTAATGCACACATCACAGACATAACACCAGATCTACAGCAACTTACACTGACTGTGTGTGTGAGCCCTCTCTGGTGATGACTCCCTCTTTGTCCATCAGCATTTGTCTGAATGTGCTTACTTTCTGTCGAATCTCTTCTTCTGTGTACCTGAGGATGGACACAAAGATGGAACAATTATTCAAGGAATACACACACTCATCAGTGATCTGAAGTTTTGACTACTTAGCTCAATAGTGAGCAGACAAGGATGAAGTAAATTCTTCTAAATGTTAAGAGACTGTCAAGATGATATTCCAGACTGAAGCAGCAGCTTTTAATGCCAGCATGCAGCAGGGGCACGGGTAAAGCTAAGAGTCATCTGTAATAAATGTCAGATACTCATATAGGAGCTGCATCTTTTCTCATATAGGACCGAACCAATGTCAGCGACAGTCTTCTGCCCATATCCTGAATGAAAATTATAGTCAGCTAAATGCTGTATATTCTGATGACTCAATGTCAACCTCTCCCAGCCCTGGTGGGTTTGTTGTTCAGGCCTGGGCTCCATGCCACCTTTCATTCTACAAGCAAGCACCTGGACTCACTGAATTGAGGGGTCAGTGCGAGGTGTTTTCTACAAGCTGAGACAGACATCATACTACAGATTGCTGCAGTGGCACATGAAATAAATTACTGTCCATGCCACACTATAGATTTGAAGTCCTATTTTGTAATTGAGAATATCTGGTTATTTTCATGTCAGATATATTGTGGCTGTCAGTGGATGCAACAGTAGAACATCAAAATGATTATTTATACTTTTATTTCATTGTGATGTTACTTGATGCAGAACATAATGAATGAATAAAACACTATGCATGAAGCATTGGTCTCCATTCTCCTATTCTTGAATAGCACAATTAACAGCCCCTGACCACAAGTATGACGGCACTCCAGACAGTAATTATTCAACCAACCCATCTGAACAGTCCTCTGATCTATTCTACAGATTATCATAGTACAGCTATGCAAGTCTGGAAACTTGGCATGATCTCTTTAGTGCACTGCAGACTGAGCTGATCTGGTGTATGCACACCATATTCACACCATCTAATCTTCTTTTGGCTGTTCCCATTAGGGGTCACCACAGCAAATCATCTGTTTCCACCTAACTCTATCCTCGGCATCCTCTACTCTCACCCCAATTAACTTCATGTCCTCTTTTAGCACATCCATATATCTCCTCTTTGGCCTTCCTCTTGACCTCTTGCCTGGCAGCTCCATCTCCAATCTCTGCTACCTCCATCTCTGCCTCTTGTCTTTTCCTCACTGCTACAGTCTCTAACCCATACAGCATAGCTGGTCTCACTACTGTCTTGTACACCTTTCCTTTGATTCTTGCTGCCACTCTTCTGTCACACAACACTCCTGACACCTTTCTCCACCCACTCCAACCTGCCTGCACTCGCCTCTTCACCTCTTTCCTACACTCCCCATCACACTGGACTGTTGACCCCAAATACTTAAACTCCTGCACTTTCTTGACCTCAGCCCCCTGTAACCTCACTGTTCCACTTCCCTCCCTCTCGTTCATACACGAGAGGGAGGGAAGTGTATTCTGTCTTACCATGACTGACTTTCATTCCTGTTCTTTCCAGAGCAGACCTCCACCTTTCCAGGTGTTCCTCCACCTGCTCTCTGCTCTCACTACAGATCACAATGTCATCCGCAAACATCATTGTCCACACCATCTAATGATGGTTAATAAAGCTGTGATAGTGTGTCAGACTCTTCACAGAGGTAACCTGATTGGAAGCCTCAAGCATTAATAATATACTGTCATGGTCAAATTCAACAACAACAGCATATATGAGGGGTGTCTGGGATGTAGCATTAGCATGAAGAGTCACTGATTACACCACAGTGAAAGTGCAGGTGACCTATATTTACAGTAAACTGGTAATAAAAAAAAGACTGAAGCCTTAGAACTCATACCCTCTTTGACTTTCAATATACTAACGTGATATTTTCTTATTTAAGTGATAACCCTGGGGAACTGTCAGTTAGTGCTGAAACAGACACTTACTTAGCAAAACAACTGTTTTTCTTTTCTTAAAGGATTAGTTAGACTTTGTCCAGATCATGCTTATTTGCTTTCTTCCTGAGAGTTACAGAAGATTCATACCACTGTCAGCATCCTAACAATGAAGCTACAGTCAAAGGTACACAAAAGTTTGTGGGGACACGCTTAGAACCATGTAATTTACTTACCAGTTTATTAAGTAATTATTAAATCACAGTTTATTAATCACTGCTGACTTGTGATGTCCACTTGTTCCTAGTAAAAGCAGAGCCATCCATCACTCAGTGCTGAAATATATAGCGGACTCTTACCTTTCAACAGATTCTCTTTCACCCTCTTATCTACTGCTTATGGCAGGCGCAAATCTGTAAGTTGGATTGAGAATGAACCAGGGGCTCATTTCGGCTTTGAACTGGCATCAGACTGAGGAAGGTTTGATTTTCTCAGATTAAATATTGCAGCTGATACAGTGTAGTCTGTGCCAGGTGCTATCAACATTTTGACGATGTGAAGAATATGATTAGGAGTAGTGCGATGGAGAACTGAAATAGCTGGAAGATGATCCAGCAGAGCAGTAGCCAGCAAGTGTGACAGCACCATCAGGTCCCGCTTCTCTGGCAATCTTTCAGCGCAGCAGCTGGCCAAACTTTTAAGTTGCATTTTAGAGCAATTAGGTTTAAAAAATTCATAGTGAACTCTAAATCAATCTGCATAAGTGGCCACATATTGGACGCCTGTCAGAAGCTAAGCTCCACTGCACATTTAGGTGCACATTTTGCAGCTGTAAGGATGGCAGCAACACCATCAGTTTTGCCCTGACACAGTGCAAGGGACGGATGATTGGGTAACAGTGAATTCAAATTACAATGAATGTTTATAGTCATGTTTGTATGTTAGTATATGTGTATGAGGAGGGACAGAGGCCATATTGGAACCAAAGGAAAGCCATTCAGCCCAGGCACAAAGAGCGAGGAGCTCTCCGTCACCCCATCCATGAAAGCTTGATTGCAGTAATCAGACAGCTTAGAGCACTCACAGATTCTCCCATTAACTCACAATCCTGAAAAATGAATAGGTGTGTTCCAAGCTGATGGTCATCAATTTGAACGGGGCGTGCCTATGTGTGGGGCGTGTGCTCCTCTTGACCGCAAGTGATGTTGCTGCATTTGGTGTCTGAAGAGCTATTGTCCTCAAGTTGTCCCAAGGCATTGCTATACACCTATGAAACTGCAGTCATCAATCTTGCTGCAAAGAGCACAGAGGCATAGTGATGGCAGTGTAGCTAGTAAGACTGAATGGTGCTGGCAGCATAGGAAGACAAACCTGAACACCTCCACATTTCTATTTCAGGAGCAGAATTAAAATGGCCTACCAAGTGCCACAGTGAAATAGTTTAACTCTCAAATGAAGAAGATTTTCAATTGATGCTCTGTACACTCACAGACATTCTGGTGAGATAACAGATACAAGAGAGACCAGACAGCAAGTAACCTCTCTCTCACTACATAAAGCTGCCCCTCTCTCCTCCCCCACTGTGTAAGTGGATGGAGAAGCACAATCTGCTGCAGCCGCACTTTCTGATTGCTCATCTTCTCTAAGACCGACAGCATTTCATGTTAGGGTCTCTCTCAAGCCAGGGGGTGAGAGAGAGATAAGACCCATAAGGACCCAGACTACAGTGTGACAGTTTAGATAAATAAAGAAAGTTTTATTAACACAACAGAGGCGGCAGCTGCTGGAGCTCGGGGACTGGTCCAGGAGGCGGCAGCTGCTGGAGCGCTGGGACTGGCTCAGGAATGTGCTGCTGCAGCGGGAGGTCCAGATGGGATGAATGAGAAGTGGGCTGCTGCAGCGGGAGGTCCTGGTGGGATGGACAAGGAGTGGGCTGCTGCAGTGGGAGGTCTGCATGGGATGCACAAGGGCTGCAGTGGTTGCTGCTGCTCAAGACTCAATGAAGGCTACTGCTGCTGCTGCTCATGACCCAACATGGACTACCACCGCTGCTGCTGCTCGGGACCCGACGGGGGCTGGCGGCGCCGTGCTGGTCACTTCCTTCGTCTGCAACCCTTGCCCTCAGAGGCGGAAGGCTGCAGGTTGAGGTCAGGTTGCAGCAGCTCAGGCTCTGGAAGCAGCTGCTGTGGTGGCTCGGGCTCTGGAGGCAGCTGCCACGGTGGCTCTAGCTCTGGGTGAGAAGGCTAAATGAAGGATGCCTTATACAGTACATTAAATGGGGCTCAAGGTTACATTTATAAATGACACCTGTCTGGAAGTGCATGAGGCATGATCGTTTAAAGTAGCTATTAGAGGAGATGGTATATAACTGAAGCACCATCCTGAATGTTTTCAAATATGCTTTGTGTCAGCTTTTAAGCAACTTTGAGGACCTTATGATAACACTGCTCACTGAATGACTTTGGACCATTAGGGCTGCTCTGCATGCAATGGTCCAGACTCTATTTCATGGGTATTTTTCTGTGCTAATTGAGCTATAATGATTGCACATGATTCAAACTCCTGTGGTGTTTGGGCCTTTTTCCAGCTTCTTAATAAGCTCTCTTCACAGGGCCTCACTCAGTCTGAACTGCAGGGTGTATGAGGCTCCCTTTAAACACATGAACACTATATATGCATCTGCGGAAGGCATGCACACACACATACACAGGGTTTGCTTCAGAGAAGCAATACAGTGATGTTGTCTATGAACAACAAAGTGTGCTTGGCCTTTGTAATGTATGCATGAAACAGTTTGTGCCACCAGTGGTAAGAACTTTGTAAGTAAGAGGGAAGAGACTAGATATTACTGTTCCTGCTTCACCAAGCAGAAAAATTAGATTTGTATCTGTGTATTAAAAAAAATTTATATCTGTTTTAATGTTGAGTGAAGAGGCATAGCCTGGCACAAGCAAAGAAGGCACAACAACACAGAGATGTGTAAATGAATCTGTGCTTTTACATGTATATAAAGACATACAAGCAAATCCATTTCAAGACAGAACAATTTACAGATATGGAGCCAAATGGCTGAATTTTAGTCACTACTCCAACATCTGCACTGACAGTTTTTGAATTGCAAGAGATGTGAGTA